CTTAGTTTTCTATGTTGAAAATGTGTGAAATTTCTCAAAATTTTTGAAAATCAACATTACAAAGTTCACCAAACCCTTACTGTTTAGTATCAATAAATCCCATTTTTGACGAGCTTTCATTTGGTATAAAATTCATTATATACCCCTCCCTAGAATAATATTATTGCCTATCCTATATCTTTGGGTATCATGTCGGCTGGTAACATCTATTTATATGTCGGATCTATTATTATTTCAGAGTTGGGGGAGAGTCAAGATGTGTTTGCCATCTTTTCATTTTTCTGTTTACTTTTATAAAGAGTATTAACAACAAATTTTCCATGATATGATATTTTGTTCCTAATTTTTATGCACAATAAAAACCGTCCTACATAAAATAAAATGACATGACTACTATAGATTTATCAATGAAATAAGAACAGTAAAATCAGTTTCCTCTTTTATATAGTTCTATAACTCAATAAAAAAACCATCATTTTTTATAAACAAAAACTTACACTTAAAGTTGTTTACAAGCAAAAATTATTTATTAACATTTAAATTCATGTCTTATTGCGTTTTAAACCTTTTGAGTCCCAAGTTATTTATACTATATTAACTTACTTTAGACAGAAACGTATAGCGGAAATATGTCTGGAGTTCTTGAGAGGTTTTTTAAATAATTTTTAAACTGAAATTGTTACTGATAAAACACAATAAGCATAGCCTAGTTTTACCAACAAGTATGATTCGTGAAATTGTTGTACTAAATAACTATCGAACAAAAGACCAGTACAATTTATAAATCACATGCATTGCAAAATTCATTAGAATTTGATACTGGTCAACTATTATCTGATGATTATATCGTAGATTTAAATGAAAAAATTTTCTTAACAGAAAATTCTGTTCGAGAAATATTAAATTTTGCGAATGAGATTATTATTAATCATATAACAACATTAGCTGATAGTATGCATGCCAGTGTCGATTTAGAATGTTTAAGATTTTGTTTGAAAAAATTTTATCAACAACCCTTCTCATATAAAGAATCGTTTATTGTATGTCTAGTAGAATATGAATTTGAAGTAACATTTGATAATGGATGAATAAATTCAACGGCTGAATGAATGTCATCGACAAGCAATAGACAATAATAAATTCGAATATGATTGATTTTATCAAATACATAAACTAATAGACTTAAAAAATAACAATGAAAAACTTAGGTTCTATTGTATTCTTGTTCTAAACATCTTGTTTTGGATGTGTAATAATATGTATTCAGTATTACATCATGAAAGTAAAAACTTTATCGAAGATGAACGAATTATAATATAAGCAAAGAAAATTTTTCAAAAACATTAACTTTTTATTGAATATTTGCTGTTTGAAGATATACTTTATGGATCTATTCTGGTATGCCTTCATATATATCAATAGAATAAAACGCAATAAGCTAAATTGTCAATTTCGTCTGTTGCAAAACAAAACTCAAGTTGTTTTAACGAATTCATGCTGGATTAAAACTGCAACTGATCATATTCGAAGAAGATAATGATTCTTATCGATATTTTACAAAAGGTATAATAGAAACTTTATATTGTAGAGAGAACCATCTACTGGTGCCCTCTGGTATTCTATAGTGAATGAAAATTCAAAATCAACCAAAAGGATGATATATAAATTCGCAGTTCACTTTTCTATGGTTAAATACTTTCTGTATGTAAACTAACGAATAAAAACTAATCTTCTACTTATCTCACCATCGTACTTAGTTCAGTCAAGACAAAAATAATATTTTTGGCATTAGTAAACGAAGATAAATAATTACATATGCTTATGTTTTATTCTATTCTTTTTTCGATCAAAGACTTATTTTTTAGATGACAAATTCAACGTCTTCGAAATTTGACGATCATGATGTTAATGATGATGAATTACTTGCTGCTTGTGATGATGTTCCTTTGAAGAAACCAGATCCAATCGTTCCGATAGGTAATTTTCAAAAACAAGAACTTTATATAATCAAATATTCTCTTTCTTTTTTCTTGATAATAGTCGAAGTAGCATCATTTGAATTTCCATTCGAACCATATCAAATTCAAACTGATTTTATGCGTGGTCTTTATTCAACTATTCAACAACGTAAACATGGTATTTTCGAATCACCTACTGGCACTGTAAGTGTATTATTTATTATTGTTAATTGTTACATTTTCTTCTCTTGATATTTTCAAGGGTAAAAGTTTAAGTTTAATATGTGGTTCACTTCGTTGGTTATTTGATGAAATACAATCATGGAAAGATGAATACGAAGAATTACTAAAACCAATTGAAACTAAAAATGAAACAAGGTATATGAATAAAATATTATTTTGGTTGTTTATGTGATCTTATTTCAGTTCCGGTGATTGGTTAAAACGATTAATGAAACGTAAAGAAGAAGAAACAGCAAGAGAAAAACGACGAGTAAAAGTTTACTTTTTTTTTCGTCGAACGAGAGAAGTTGTCCGACTGTTCAATCACTTTTCAGTCAAGACTAGGTGCATTATGTAGACCTAAATAAGCTATGAATATTCTGAAAAGAGTTCGTACCTTTAGCTTGTTACTACGAAGATACTACACTTTTATGGAATTTTGTAAAAGAATTAATGCTGTAGTCCACTCAGAAACACCAGAAAACCCCATTTTCGAATTTTGACTTGCAACTTTGTATAGAGACAGGTCGTAACGAGAGTAGTTTTAGGTCTTGTTGCTGTTGTATCTTAGAATAAGAACAGCGACAAGATCTGGAACATTCACAAAGAAATCTATTCTTGTTAAGGTCTATTTCTATGTAAAGTTTCAAAATCAAAATTCGAACACCATTCTTTCTGGTGTTTTTGAGAGGGACCCTGGCATTTATTTAAAAATTCCGTAAAAGTACAGTATCTCCATAACAATAAACTACAGATACGAACTCTTTTCCAGATATGTATTCACAGCTCATTTGGATCTACATAATGGTACATAGTCTCGACTCAAAAGCAATTCAATAGTTGGAGGACTTCTCTCGTACGAAAATATTTCTTCGCGGAAGTGCAACAGTAGTTTAGTATCTATCTATCTTATTTCTAATTAGGAAGAATTAAAAGTGAAAATTGATCTTGAAGATCAATATGCAAATGCTGCAAAGAATACATTAACAGCTAATATCAAGAAAACAGTAAATTCATCATTGTGTAATTTCATGTTTGATATCTAATTTGATTTAGAAACGAGATTTTGATGCAAAATATCGACATTTATTTAATAGTGAATTACCTTCAAAGTCTGATGGTGATGATCCATCTTTATCAAAAGATCAATTTAAAATTGATAATGATGATGAATTGAGGTTTGAAAATCAAATTTCTAATCTATAAAAAAAAAAGAAAAACTATTCTTTTATCTTAGTGATGAAGAATTAATTATAAAAGATAATGATTGTAAAATATTATTTGATGATATGGATTCACCAACAAAAACTGATTCAACAGGTTTACGAGAAAAAAAAGTTCATGTTCAAAAAGTAAAATATCTGGTTTTTTTGTGGAAAAATAATTAAAAAGAGAATTTTTTTTAATTTAAGATTTTCTTTTGTACTCGTACACACTCACAAATATCACAATTTATTGGTGAAATTCAAAAAACAAAATATGTTGATCAATTACGTTTAGTAGCACTTGGATCACGTCAAGTATCAATTTTCTAATGCATTATTATGAATAGTTATTTAACATATTTAGAATTTATGTATTAATGAATCGGTACTTAAATTAAAATCATTAACATTGATTAATGAAAAATGTCTTGATTTACAAAAACAAAAAAAAGAAAGTAAAAATTTTTTTAAATAAATCTTTTTATTCAATATTGTTTTTTGGATAATTTATTTTAGAAAAAACAACTAAAGGAAAACGACAAAAAACTGCTTGCGGTTGTTTGTTTCTACAACATGATCGAGTTGAATGTTTATCTAATGATATTCTTGTACGTTTAAAACAACAAAAAAATAGTTTCATTTCATTCTAATTATTTATAGAAAGGTTCAGTAAGAATTTCAATAAGTATTAATTTTGCTTCAAATGCATCAAATATTTCTTATCAAAAGAGAATATCAGAGAGAGGAAATATATTATGATGAAATTGAAAAATACGTCCAGAGTAGATATGTGCGGGACCAAAAAATAAAACTTTACCGGAACTGGAATCGGAATTCGAGACTATTTGGTATCTTCAACTCTGTTACTTTTCAAATGAAAATAAAATCTGTAAATATTAAATCTTAATGAATAAACAGTTTCATCATTATGAACACTAAAATATCTTCGTCATAGATGGAATCGGTACCGGTTATCGATCGGTCTATATCAGTCTAAATTTTCCACTTTCCTGATCTATGATTGTATCCATATAAAAAAAAAACAATAAGTGGAACTAAGACTAATCTCGCTGATCATACAACAATTAGTTTAACAAATAGTTTAGAGAACGCTCTCAATGAAAATATTATTGTCAATAGTGAAGCATTATGTCAGTATGCAGCAAGCTACCAACATAACTCAAAATAGTACACTATGGAGCGAGATTTCATTTTAATGCTCTGTCTATTGCTTGTAGATCGGTATATTGTTGGTAGACCGGCTGGTCCGATCTAAAAATTCCAGACCGGCACCGGTCTGAGAAAAATTAGACTGGTTCCATCTATGGTCTTCGTCATTGCTTGATTGCATTTGTTCATTGAACATGGTTTCATCATCTTTAGATAATCGTCATTTTTTTCGTTTGTGAATATGACTATGATAAATCCTTTGATAATACACATTTGCTTGGAATACATGATGGAGAAGCTGTCTCTGCTACGTGCTCATTTCTGATTTGATTCATAAAATCATTTTAAATACGTATACTAAATTTTTGTTTACAAACATGATTTTATCTATGTTTTCACAGTTGCTTACCATATTCTTTTTCCAGTAACTGTTGCACATGAATAAACATGTGCAGGACCAGGAACATACAAAATTCACCATAACTGCGATCCAGACTGCTAAAAAAAAGGAACTACCAGTATCAGGAGTAAGAAAACTTGGTATCGCACATGTCTAGTTCAGAGATGATAATTATGATTGTTTTCTTTTTTTTTTGTGTTTTACTAGTTTTTCTTAGCTTAAATATATCTGAATACTGCAAAAATTTCTTCTTTAGAGTGATGTGCAAGATATTGAAGATGTTGTTAAACTTGGTCGTGAATTAAATACATGTCCTTATTATGCAACACGAGCAGCTATTGCAGCTGCTCATCTTGTTGTTTTACCCTATCAAACTCTAATGCATAAATCAACACGAGAAGCATGTGGAATTGAAATGCGTGATAATGTTGTAATTATTGATGAAGCACATAATTTACCAGATGCTATATGTGCTATGCATTCGAGTGAAATAAATGGAAATCAAGTATGTTAAATTAAATAAAACGAAAAATTTAATTTTTTCTTTTTACAAATTCTATTAAAATTTAGTTGATCGATTCCTATGGTCAACTATCACGTTATCACGAAAAATATAAAGCTCGTTTAACAGCAAAAAATTTACTTGCAATTAAACAATTATTAGATGTACAAATTAATTTAATCAAAACACTTTGCTGTAAATATAATAGAAAGGTTTTTTTTCAAATTAACTATGTCTTTGTATTGTGTCGATCTAGCACAGGAAAATCTACCAGCAGTGTATGATACTGAAAAATGGAGTAATCTCGTTGTTTCATCGAATAAAACAGGTAGCATCGATATTTTTTTGTGTATGTGGGAGTTATATTTTAAGAAAACAATCTACCATAGAAACTTCTTCAACCTTTGATTTAATTGATTATTTATCGGATGCTGGAGTTTATGTTAATCTATTTCAACTTATTGATTATATCAAAACAAATGAAATAATTAAAAAGGTTTCTTTGTAAATGTTTTATAATTTATATCAAGTTTTTCTTTCTTTTCATTTTAGTTGCATGGTTTTATGTCAAAATATCCTGTAAATAAAAATCAACAATCAGAAGGTAAAAGCAAATTGATTTCATGAAGTATTCATATATCAAATTCTATAATTTTTATAGAAAAGAAAACAAATGAAAGTGCATTACAAAAATTATTACAAAAACAAACACAAAAACAATCCCAATCAAATGTTGTTGATGAAGAACAATTAAGTAAAGGTATAAGAAGAAATGACATATATTTCTCCCTCAATAGTGAATAACCGCAATGAAGAACTTAAGGCGCTCGAAGTATTTTTCCTTGTATTTGCTAAATGATGATTAGATCAAAAAAAATGCACTGACATACATTATTTTGTAAGATAATTTATTTGAGAATTTGAAGAGATGATCTAATTGTCCTAAGAGCTTGTACTCAATGAATATATTTTCTTTTCTAACACTAAAAAAGAAAACCTTAGACAAATGAGTCGGTCCGTTTTCATATTTTAGGTATATTTAGAAGATCGCAGTCAAGTTCATTTTTTTCATTTTCAGTCATGATAGATATTTTTCCAGTTCATGATTGCATTGAATATATCAAATTGTTGAGTTCTTTTACTCTGTAAAGGACCGCACCAGATTCGATAACCTATCTTGAACCAGATTGCGGTGTATCAAATAGTATTATAAGAAATCAAGTTTTATAAAAATTTTGATGTACTAATGATTGATACACTGGTTATAATGCTTGAAAGATATTGCCGGGTATTCATAGACATTGTGGCTCCTAAGATGTTCTAAAATAGATCTATGCAAATTTTGCTTTTAACTTCAATTCAATGCAGTTATAGGAACTTCTAATTTTTGTATAATCAATAATTTTCATCGATACTTTCTTCATACTTAAAAATGATTCTTTTTCTTAAATTTAGGTTATTTCTTGACTATATGATATTTCAGTTTGTTTAACTCTATAATTGTACACTATCGAACTCAATATGTTTCACAGATAATATCTTTCAAAACATCAGGGACTCATTGTCTCCTAGAATAGCCTTTCTTTCTATATGAAGAGATCGATATATGGACAATATTGTACTAATATCCAATGGCTCTATTGTACCAATCATCAACGTGGTATCCCTGATGAAATGATATAAATAACATCTGCATTAACGAAAAAATTTTCCGTGACCTCCAGACCCTTAGACGGGATATGAGGATATGGAAACATTTATTTTTGGAATGAACATAAAATATTTATAGATTCTTGTAAAGTTTCAGGCAAAAATTAAGTCCGAACACTCGGAATAAAAATTTGAAAAAGAAATAATAAAAATAAGAGATCTCTTCCATGAAATCCTATACCCGTACTCTGTTCCAAAGGTGTGGAGGCCAAAAACTTTTTTCTGTTTATGAAGGAGTTATTTATATCAGTTCATGAGCAATACTGTGCTGATTATTGGTACTTAAAAATCTTTAATAGGTCTGTTGCATTTTGTTAAAATATTGTTAATATATCATCCTTTCACATAGGAAAATAGGTTATTCTAGGGAATACTCAAACAAGTTGACAATGAGTCTCTGCCGTTCCGAAAGATATTATGTATGAAACATATAGAGATCAATAGTGTGCAATTACATAGTTAAACACACTGGAACATCATATAGCCAAGAAATAGCCTAAACCTAAGAAAAAGAACCATGTTTAGATATTGTGAAAGCATCGATAGAAACTATTGATTATAGAAAAATGAAGAGCATCTATAACTTATCGAAATTAGTTTAAAAAGGATTTGTATAAGTTTATCTTATATCCTATGGATTAGAATGTCTATGAGTACCAATAATATCTCTCAAGCATTATAACCAGTGTATCAATCCTGAACATATCAAAATTTTGATAAAACTTGATTTCTTATGATACCATTCGATGCGCAGCAATTTGGTTCAGTATTGGCAACCAAATTCAGACGGGTTCTTTCTTTGAAACTTCACATTTATTTTATTTTTTATTTGAATCTTTTTCTTTATATTTAAAGAATCGACTGAAAAACGAATTTCAAACTCATTTGCTATTTTTGCAACATTTCTCGAAGCACTAACAAATCCACGTGATGATGGAAAAATTATTCTCATTATCAAAGGTTTTATTATTTAATGTTCACTATCATATTTTATCCTATCGTAAACATTTTCTAGAAACTCTTGGACAATGTTCAATTAAATATTTTGCTCTTAAAACTTCATCATTTTTTCATGAAATGGTTAATGAAGCACGTTCGGTTATTGTTGCTGGTAATTTTATGCAAAGTTTTCTGTGACTAAAAAAATGAAAATCAATTATTCTATTTTAATTTCTAGGCGGAACAATGAGACCTGTAAACAATAAAATAATGTTTTTACTCTTGATTTTCTCATTTTTTGTATTTCTTTTTTGCATAATAGATAAATGAATTTATCGATCATCTTTTTCTTGCCTGTGGTCAACCCGAAGAGAAACTCTTTCAATTATCATGCAGTTAAACATTTCTTTATAAACGAAATTCTCTACTTTTCATGTTATTGCTTTTTTTTCTTCCGTTCAATTAGATCATATCGTTCCAACAGATAATGTACTTGCTATAGCACTTCCATTAGGTCCACAAAATATTGAATTTGAATTTACTGCTGTCAATCGTTCGAATACGGCCATGGTAAGTTAAATGAATACTAGTTATATATGTTCTTCTTTTGTTTTTCTTTCATCATTTTTAATGAAAAAAAATTTTCATCTAGATGGATGAGTTAGGACGTGTTCTTGTATCACTTTGTTCTACTATACCAGATGGTCTGGTAGTTTTCTTTTGTTCATATGATCATTTACAAAAAACTTATGCATATTTTGAAAAAACATTTGTACTAAATAAGATTGTATCCAAGAAGAAGGTTTGAAAATTAACATTATAAGATTTTTTTTTGTTCAAATATTTTATCTTAATAATTAGATCTTTATGGAACCAAAACGTTCAAGTGATGTTGATACTATTCTTACGAATTATACAAAATCAATCAAAGTTTTATTTACAAAAAATTTTTATTTATTATTTTTGTTTTTATTGAAATATTCTTCTAGAATGGTGCAGGTGGTATACTTTTTTCAATTGTTGGTGGTAAAATGAGTGAAGGAATAAATTTTTCTGATGAATTAGCTCGATGTGTATGTGTTGTTGGTATGCCTTATCCTAATATAGGTTCAGCTGAAATGATTGAAAAAATGCGTTATTTGGATTCAATGAGATTAAAATCTACTACAGCAGGAGAAACTGCTGGTAGAGCTTATTATGAAAATACATGTTGGAAAGCAATAAATCAAAGTATTGGACGAGCTATTCGACATCGTGGTGATTATGCTTGTCTTCTTTTAATTGATAAACGATATAGTAAAGCAAATATACCATCGAAATTACCTCATTGGTTAGCAAATAGTTTTCATCAAATGAATAATTTTACTGAAACATCAAATGCAATTCAACAGGTATAATGAATGGATCTTTTTTTCTTGAATTATATTGTTATTTATTTTTAGTTTTTTGTTCGACGTTCAAATAAGCCAACATCATCATAAACTGTTGGGAAAGTTTTTTTGTTATAATCTTACTGTTCATAAAATAAATTTAATAATTCGCATTCTTGAAGGATCTGCAAAATATCAAAAGTCATTTTGTTATAAAGATTGATAGCATTTTAGTTGAATGATCGTTTTGCATGCTTTGTACAATTTCATGTGGATTAATAATAGGTAAGTGAATCAGTGCATGATAAGAAGATAAAAATTTGTGTAGGAACAGTCGGTATCAGAGATAAGAAACCTACCTTTGTGCGTTTGATGAAGTTTTTGGAATGTAGCTGAATAAAAATTCGTTGTTTTTTTGTTTGGTTAATGAAGACATTTTTTTACAAGATTTAGTCGTTCGAGCAAATTTCATCACCTCAATGAGTAGATTCTGCACCTCCGGTAGGTATTTTAACTCTATTCGCAAATCTTACTGTCCAACTGTCAATAATGAACTAATTACTATGATGAAAAAGATTAAATCAGAAAATTGATGTATACATGTTCGATATACAAGTATTTACCAAAAAACAACTTGCACGAAATGAAAGTTTTCTTTTTGAAACGTTATTCTTTTCATTAGAAGCATTCAGATTAGTTGGAAACGAGAATCAATCTTCAAATCTCTTGTATCGTTGACAATTAGTAAATTATCAGACAATGATTTACCAGAGTCTTGTTGATGCTATGCAACGAAAAAAGTATTTATTGGAATGAGTTTCCGAGTGTATCATCCACGGAAAAGGAATTGATTTATTTTGTATGATATAGTAATAAAGAAATTTACAGAGAAATGGTTTGCGCTATCGAAAGTCTGACCATACTATTAGATAGACGTTATCAGGTTGTACTTGACACAAGAATAGAAACTCAGGAACAAGTTGCTAGGCGAATAGGGGTTACATTTACTTGAGTTTGGTGCCAATTTCACTTGTGTAGGAAAAAGATGAATGAAAAGTGTGCCTACGATGTTACCAAAAGGCTTTAGTGACAAACATTGAAGTCAATTAATGCCATCTATCCTAAATAGATAAGATGTTATGTCAAATCTGCGGAGAAATCAACGATAGAAAACATAGGAACATTTCCAAAATATTTCAAAAACCATATAGTTTAGATGAAAATCTCATATTAAACCCTATAAAAACAGTTTTTCGAGACTAGAGATACTGATTCTGAAAGAGGGGACTTCGGCATATCTTTCTATGATGAAGGTTTCATTTCGAGCTTGTAAGAAAAAAAATTTGATTTTCTAAGGCAAGCTCCTTAACAGCACCATTAACCTGGATGGCAAACTACACGGGACTTAAGTTATTATTCTGGTAATCACTGAGCAATAGTCGAGAACTTGATCAATACCGTCGTTCAATTTTCTTCTCTTCTTGTGTTGAATGAACGATTCATCTACACGCTAGTGTTGGAACTAATGTCGTTCACGAAAAATACAAATGAAATCGAAGATATGTCCATGAATCGAAAAGATCGTTTCCTTTTACTTTCTAGTACAAATCCTGTTAACTTTTTTGGTAGTATGGGAAAAGCCTTGGCACGATGATCGCACAGTGTTTAGTCTAGAGTAGAGGAGGCGCGAAAGAATAGTCCTGGTAACATGCCAGAGTTAGCCATTATCGCATTGACAATCTCTTGAGCGTATATCCTACAGATTTTCGCTGTTTCTTACCGAGCTTGTTTCTTCATTTTTGCTGCTGTTTTGTTCTAGAACTATCTTGCTAGTCGATATTTTGGCGCATGATTTACAATGTTCTCTTGGCTTCCGATCGATAATGGAGTTGCTGGATGATAATCTCAATCTGCTAGAACATCTTTCTTACCAACAACGATAGTGCTGCTCAACAAAGGTCTTAATGACCCCCTTGATAACGTGTTGAAAGCCGGTGTAGTTCAAGACTTTCTGTCTATCCTCGGTCTCTGTGAAACAAGACACTGTGAAGGGAAAAAGTCAAAGGTGTGATGAACAGAACATTCGATTCACAGAGATTTGTTCTGATCCATGGAGTATTATCAGCATGTACTAGTAACCAATACAAACATGGAATGAGTCTGAGCTCAAAATTAACGAGGTAAATTTGCTAATAACTAAATTGGGGCGAGATGTAGCAATTCATTTAGAGCCTGAGATAAAACAAGAAATTTAGAAGACTATCTCACAAATGTTATGAACATGGTAGTCTAAAGCGTGTCATTTACAATCGTAAGAGATTTGGATTGATTCGACAATGAGATATGCAGTGATAAAAAGAAGGAAGTAGGCGAAAAGTATCTGGAAGTCCTGTCGATGAATTTCGTCTCTGCACAAACACTCTATATTCGGTCGCTTGCTCAACGGCAGGATACACAAGCTGCATCCAGTAACTTCAGCTGTACACAATGGATACTGACTTGATCAGCATTGAGAAATTTTATAGTGCGATTCTATCTTTTGCTCACAGCATTTAAATAATATTCTTGTTACTGTCAGCCGTCAGACGCATTAGTAGTCTTCAATATCATGACTGATAAGACTGATCGATGTTTGCTCTTGAAACATTGACAAAGCTCGATTTTTAGGAATGAGAACGAAAAGAAATTTTAATTGCAATAATAAATGTGCCATTAGAAATTCCCACTGCATACACCCATACACTGGACAAAGCGGTACGTAGTTTAACACAAAACAGAAGAAATGGTATTGAAGTTGAAAATGTATGGGAACGTCCATCATTATGAACTCGCCATAGTGCTAGCTATGTCTTACCCTAAACATGACGGTATACAACAGGCCAAAACTTCAGTCCAAGGAATTTTTGACCAGGAACGAAATACATCTCAGTGTTACTCATAAAAAATAGTCTAGTTTCAATGAATAGTTAGCACATTTTCGTAATACCGAGCAGAACGACGTGGTGCTGAGTAGGACGGCATAGTGCGTAACAGTGCGATTTTAGACCACATTATAGTTATAGCATCCTATTCAGCATACGACATTTTGTTTTATTTTGACATTCGTTGCAGAGGAATCATAGTTATCTCTTAAGACTACAATATTTCTCATATGAATCCAAGTCGACTACTCAGCACTACGTCGTCCTGCTTAGCACCACGACGTTCTACTCAGCATTACGAAGTGTATCAACTGGTTATAGAAATATGGCTTTTTTTAAGGGGCTGATGAGATGAATTTGGGACTGGACCGAAATTCATGTAATCCTAGTATATGATAGGAGAGAACAAGAAAGCAATGTTGAACACCTTTGTGGATGTAAATAACTTTGCATCGAATACCATATTGGATATATAAAAGTTCTTAACGGTTCTGCTTCTCGAAAGTAGTGTTCATGAGAACAGATCTTCTCTTGTGAAGATAGTTCGAGATTCTTATATATGTTTTGTCGATTTTCATTGTTCAGAGTGAAACTGTTTTCTAATAATTTTCTACGTAATGCTTCATTCTTCGCCATGAATGTCGTTCTCTCACGGTTTGACGACAGAACTGCTTTTTGATCAAATATTGTCAAAAGAGTAGAAATTTTTTTTCTCTCTCTCAAATAAATGCATCATTTTCAAAGACTACTGTCCAGGTCAGACAATCAGAGCTTAATATCTTACAAGATCATATTTCTGATTTTGTATGACCTTGTAAGATTAGATGAAAATCGTACAAAAAAAACCGCAGTCTCAGAAATCTTACATCAAATCATACCATAAGATTCTTGAAAATTCTTGCTGTCCTGTAAGATGTTACTATAAGATTATAGGAAACTTTATGTAGTAGTAAGATCTTTCACGAATCTTATAGTACCATATGATGTAAGATCTCTGAGACTACATTTTTGTACGATTTTCATACGATTTCGTCCGATCTGCCAGATTTTACGTCTGATTTTTTTTGACTAGGGTGTAGCAAATCATTTACTAGTTATTTTTATCCTTATAGCTTCAGGTGGTGATGATTGTTTTTTGTAAGACTTCAATGTAGATTGTGGCCTTGAATGCATTCTATTCTGTTGATTTGATGAATCGATACCTGCACTATGAATAAAAGAGCAATGATGGAGAATTAATAGGCCAGTGCAAGTGTCCAGAAGGTATAGAAGGATTCATTAAGCAAAAAATTGAAGCCGCCCGACGTAGATTTACATTGTGTTAGATGGAATAACTCTAAATACAAAACTCATGAATCCGTAGTGAGATTCTGCCTCAAGCGAGGAAAGGGTTATTCATTTAACAAAAATGATGATTGTAGCTTGATCGAATGTACTGCCCATTGAGACTACAGATGAATAATTGTTGAAAATGAATTCACTCAAAATATGGCATTGAATGTAATCGATCAAGTGGATGTATCCGCTAGCCTATTCATTTCTATTCAATAAGACATATATAAACAACCATGCAGTTTTAGCTTTCGTAGCTAATACTCATTTGAAGTATACTGCTCTTTATGAATGCATTTAATTGGTCAAAACAATGATCATTAATTGTGTGATTTGCGGTCGCTTTTATATTTCTCTCTCTCTCCCTCTATTTAGATATGCGACTACAATTTCTACTTCCTTTGGTTTTACTGATCGCCGACTTATCAACTCCTGCACATGGGACAAATCTACAACGATTTGTAGAAAGTTTGGTCGATACTGTTAACAATGAATTCGGTGAAAAAGTGGTTTTGAATAAAACAGCTCTCCGTCGTGCATGGTTATTTTTCAAAAAGAAATACAAACATTCATTTTCATCGGCTCGTAAGTACTATTGTTTAATCTATCTTCTTCTATGCATATATTTGTAGAAGAAGACAAGAAACGTAATCAAATCTTTCAAGAAAATGTCCAATTTGTTCTTGAATCAAATAGCAAAAGATCTCAAACATTTGCGTTAGCTTTGAATGAATTTGCTGATTGGACACAAGAAGAATTGGAAAATTATAGAAAAGGTCTAAATGAATTGTCAGAAAAAGAACGGCGTTCTTATGATGATAGTAATTACGAAACGGATGGAGATGTTGCTCGTCGTGTGCTATCCAAATTATACCGTCATGATACTAATAAAAGAGATTGGAAACAAAATTTTATGGAAGAAAGCGATGATTGGAAGCATCAATATGATAAACGTTTTATTAAGGATATTTTTCATGATATACTGCATCCAGATAAGACAAATTATGACAAGGTCGTTCTACCTGATTCGTTTGATTGGCGTGAGAAAAATCTTGTTACCAGTATCAAAAATCAACTTGAATGCGGTAGCTGTTATGCATTTGCTACTGTTGCCGTATTGGAATCACTTTATGCTTGGAAAAATAATTTGAAGGAAGTGATTGACTTTAGTCCACAACAAATTGTTGACTGTTCCAGTGGCAATAGCGGATGCGGGGGTGGGACTTTTGGGGCAAGCATACGTTATCTGCAGAAGAATCATGAAAAACTGTCAAGACTCAATTCGTATCCTTACACGGCCGTAGAGAGTGAACAATGTCGAAAAAATGACACCAATCAAGTACATCTAGGTAAACTACAGTATAGATCGATTGCTGTTGGCAATGAAGTAATTTTAGCCAAAGCACTCACTATTAAAGGACCGATTTTTATCGGACTTAATACCAAATCAAAATTATTCACGTTTTACAAAGAGGGTGTATACAAAGTGGACAATTGTTCGAATAGTCGAATGAGTATGGATCATGCTTTAGCTCTTGTTGGTTATGGTTTCGATAAAGAACTTCAACTGCCTTATTGGATCATTAAGAATTCGTATGGAACAACATGGGGTGAAAACGGTTATTTACGTTTGGCAAAAGATAACGGCAACATGTGTGGAGTTGCAACAATGGCCTCATTTGCAGAATTAACATGAATACATTGAATTTAAAAGACTTTCATTTTAATCTTTTAGTTTTCTATTTGTTTGAAATAAACTTTGAAATTATATAAAACGTACAAGAATCATGAGATGAAGAAAGAAAGAAGTAATGGCGCTTCGATATGTTGTTGATAATTTCACTGTTTTCAGCTTTTTAACTATTGAGAACTTATATTACATGTGTAGACAATTACTAGTTCAGGATTTCAATAAAGAACAAGACGAATCTGTTTCACATTTTTTTAAGACATCTTGTGAAAGAATACACATTTACTCTCTTCTAGTTGTTGATGGAATTCGTTTTCATTCTGATTGTCATTTTTGCATGTTTCTATTTTTTATATAGATCGCCACAACTCGTGGTGCAACTGCCGACAATCATCACACAGTAACGAAGTAACTGTGGATGTGGGCCTGACTATAACTGAAGAGCAAATAAATACTTATATCCTCACCCTCCGTTACTGTGTGATGACCCTCGGCGGTTGCGCCGCAGTTTGTAGCAAACATGTATTTTGTGTGTAGGTGTGCGTTGGTATTACCTTCATTCACATGCTTTATAAGCATTCCTTCAAGATATTCCATCAACAACTAAGGACATCTACTGATGACTTTCTTTATCATATAAAAAGAATATAATATTCATGAATCATTCTTGCATTGTTGTGGTCAATATAATATCTTTCGTGCTGACTCGATAACGATTCATAGCTAGGAAATATTTTCATTTTTTTTTCTTTAGATACTTCTATTATTCCTAATAGTTTTGATAAAATAATGATTTTACTCGAAGTTCATAATCGTATAATTGAAGAATTATTAACAATACAAATTGAAACATTTTTACGAAAAGAAAAATTAGTTGAACTTAAAACTGATATTGTTGGTATGTAATTTGAATATTCTGTGAAGAAAACAAAAAAAAACAAACGACGATTATTGAATAAATTTAGATTTTGATGGTGCAGTTTATCATGTAACAAGTTCACGTGATAAACCATTTACAGTTAGCATTAAATTAAAATTTTTTCGTGATTTAGAACAACATGGTACTGATGAAGTTAGTTGAAGGATTTCATTTTCTTTTTTGTTTCTTTTTAATAATTATCTTATTTCTTTAGGTTCTTCGTCGTGAATATGGTGAACTACTTGTTGCACCTTTAGAAGGTTATAATGTAACATTATCATTAGATTTTAATAGTCAGTTACCAAAAGGTGATAATAATGACGCTTGGTTACCATTAGTTCGTAAAATAGCAATGCTTAAAAGAAATTGTTTTGCTGCTGTATTTGAAAAATATTTTGAATTTCAAAGTAAACAAGAAATAACTAAAGGAAATCATAAACGAGCTGTTATACATTATCGTGATGATGAAACAATGTATGTTGATGCATCATCAGATCGTGTTATTGTGATTTTTTCAACTGTTTTTAAAGATCCAGATGATAATATTATTGGTCGAGTTTTTATGGAAGTAAGTAAAATTTGATCTTTTTTTTTAGATATAAAAATTCTTGTTTTTAAGGAATTTAGAGAACGAAGACGACAATTTCAACAAGCACCACAAGTAATTGTTAGTTATCGAACACCACCAGAAGAATTAAAAGATATGCCTGATGCACGTACAGGAGATAATATTGGTTATTTAACTTTCGGTATTAATAAATTGTGTTGACAAAAAAAAAACAAAAGATAAAGATTTATTTATTTTAGTACTTTTTTCACGTCATACAAAAGCAGCAGAACGTGATAATACAATAAATCTTATTCATACACTTCGAAATTATTTTCATTATCATATTAAATGTTGTAAAGTATGTTTTCGATTCATTTAAATAACAGATGAGCTGAACGTTTCTCGACAAAATATTTGATTATTTTTTGTGTATTTACATGCACTGGTAGTGTATTAGAAGCAGAATTTTGCGCTTTATAAGAATATAGGTTTAGAATTCTTTTGTGACTTTAGATTATTGATCTACAAATAAATCCTGACAGAACTCAAAAAAATTTCCGAAGAGGCACAAATCTTATTTTGCTAAAGATAAATCTGCTTCTTGTAGACAAAAAATAATTTCTGTAAATATATAATAATTGAGAATGATCTCTATTCTACAAATTGACGGAAAAATTGACCAGTTTGTAGAGAATTATTCTCTATATCTTTCAATATATTCGATAAAATGGTGTAGGATATCTTGAATAAGTTCCATTTGAGGCTTTTACCTTTAGAAATAAAATTTTCAAAGTCTTTTCAACATTTGCTTATAGTTCTGAAAGAGCACAACATTCTAATTCTAATATATTACTTAATGCATTTAAATACACGAATATTTTGTGTCGAAACTTTTAACTGACCTCTTATTTATTTTATTTCAATTGTTATCTTTAGGCATATTTACATGCACATATGCGTCATAAAACAAATGAATTTTTAAGACGTCTTCAATTAGCTCGACCAGAAGTTAAAAAGAGTTTTCGACGTGTTGGACCAAATACAGCGAGTATGTTAAAAAGAACAAAAACTTTTCTGTTTTCATAAAATCTTTTATTTTATTTAGGTGACGCACCAAGTGGTATGGAATAAAATTTTCTTTATTAAAACAATTTGTGATTCCATTTCTTGTTTTTTTTTCTTTTTTTATTTTAATAACCGGCTGATTTTCATGTAGCTGTTAATTTATCTCTTATGTGTGCGTGTTTGTGTGTGTATAGCTTTTCATTAATTATGATAACGAAAAAACAAAAAAGAGAAAAGAATTTATTAAATATATTGTATGTTTGCATGAAGAAATTCACAATCACGATATTTTCCTTGAGAATTATTAAGAAAACGACATAGACAAATAAATGGATAATTATGTAGAATTGAATTTTTATAGAATATATTTATACAATGAGTAGTCACATTTAAAGATGTATATTTGGCTCGACATTTCAAATGACCACGATGTTCATTATTACAACCATTATGACCACTAGAAATTAATTCGAAAAGACCACCAATCCAACCACCCATTGTTATACCTTTTATTTTCCTATGAAAAATGATCGAGAGATTCATCGTAAGAAAATAATATTTATATATTTTCAATTATTTATCTAATAAAATTTTTATTATATATATTAACTTACCGATAATAATAATTGTACAATAGGCAACACAATAAGCAGCATTATTAAATTGTTGTCTGTCATTATCTTCTTGTCTATATTAACACGTATAAGTTTTATCTTAAATATGAATATGAACCAAATACCTGAAAAATCTTTTAAATGGTTTTCGTCGTCTTATATAAGATTGTTTGTTGAATGGATCTATGACAAGGATATTATTCTTCTGTTTCAATCGATCGAAATGAAATTGTGATGGTTTGTTACGTTTATGAATCGGTGTATTTATAATTGTTTGTTGTCGCTGTTTGTGCGCATCTTTCAATGCAATAATATTTTTGAGTAATATCTCGCATACGTTTTAATAGATAAGACATGTTGTATGGATTACCTGAAGATGTTTTTTGTGATATAATAGAAATAGATTCGGAGATGGTAGTAGTACTCCGAATACTTGATAGTGATAGTGGAGATCGAGAATATTTATGAGTCATAATTGATTAATAAAAAGGAAACGTAGGAATTATTTTAAAGTAGAAGAATGTCTATCGTGATTTTCTATTTTATAATTAATTTTTCGAGAATTGTATCTAGACAACCACGAATATTAAATAATATAGCTATAGGTTTTCTTTTGTTTTTTTTTTACAATTGATAAACATAATTAAATATGACTGCATCAATTATTGTCGCATTCATGCAATAAATCTTATCTGTCTTTTCGTAATTCATTTAGTTGTCACATTCATTAGATGAGAATTTTTTTGTTATATCGCTTGACTTTTGCTGTGATAGTTTGTAAAGGTTATATATACATATTTTTTGTGTCATAACAACTATTAACGTAACATAGTATTGCAATATCATGCATCAGTTTATGTGAAAATATGTTAAAGATACATTTGAATGAATTCGTAAGAAGTATATCGAATTTTAGAAAAAACTTTTAAAGAAAATTAAGAGATCGGTGCAGTTTTTTTGGAAATAAATAAGCAGATATATATTCTCAGTTTTTATCAAAAGTATTTTTTGTTACAGAATTATTGACCGTAAATATTAATTTTAGAATCGTCAGTATTACTCTAAAACAATTAACATTTTCATAATAATTTGTGAAAATCACTATAAATTCAATGTTCGATAGATATTTCTTGTTATTCGATTTCTTGTATATCACTCATTTCTCGATAATACACTTGTCTCTCAAGACAAAATTTGGCAGATGTTTGCCGCAAGCGATTTAATGTGAAGTGCGTAAAATCTCATACCAAGCTTTGTTATGTTAACGATAAAAAGAAAACCTGTTTCAACTACTGTCTAAAAAAAATAATTAATTTTTAAAAAGATCATTCTAAATCGACTACTTGTGAATAGTTCAGAAGAATCAAAATTGACTTGATAATTAAACATTTTTATAGAGATAGATTTCGTCTTTTCAGATAGCAACTAAGCTTGATCAGTGGAAGAAAAAATAACTACAACAAATATGTGAAAATAGAGTAGCTCTATTTATTAATGCAAATAATCTTAATGAGCAACATATGGAACATTTTTATGGCGTCCAGATGAAAATAATCATTCTGCTTGATGCCAGAATTGCCACCTGTATAAGTGCCTACGCAGAGGATAGTGATTCATTTTTCTTGGTTTTTTTTT